CCCACCCCGCATAACATTTTTTTTCATTTTCAACCTGTCCCACCCCTCCCCGCATATACCCGCTCCGCATGAACCCGCCTCGCATAATTATTTTAATATTTTCTTTTTTTAGTTATGTTAGATACTAAAAATAAAATTCATTTTTTCATTAAGTTGTATTATTTAATAGGATAATGACTTAATTGTTTTTATAGGTCAATTGAGAAACATGTAAGAAATTGAATATTTTTTTATTGAACCATTTGCATTTACTATCTTGAATATTTTAGTAGCTTTAAAAAAATTATCTTAATAAATAATGCTCAATCACTCTTATAACATGTAAAAAATTAAAATTAAGTTTAAATCCATATAAAATCACATATACATGCAACCCGCCCCACCCCGCATTAGTTTTAAAAAAACTACTTCAACCCGCCCCGTCACTCACAACCGTAAACCCACCCAGTCTCTCATAGCCTTAAACCCGCCCCACCCTGCATCCAGCCCTCCCCATTGCCATCCATATATATGCTATAATAATGAGAGGAATATAACTGATATAATAATAACCATAAATATCTTTAGATACTAAAATGATATTAAACCATGACCTAAAAGGATCATAAAGTGTCATCTACAAGAAGAGTAAAATCATTGGTTAATAATTTCATAGATGAAAATGAGGTGCTTTCTAATTCAATATCAAGCATACTTTACGAATCTCATATATATCTAATCATCAAAAGAAAAATGACATGCACATACAAATATTTTTATAAGCATTTTACATTTATAAATTATATCAAACAAAAAGGTTAACAAAAGATGTGTTAGTTATCTATTTACTTTTATTTAATAGACAATCAAAATAGAACGAACATTCATGAAAACATAAATATGAAAATTACTGACCCTTTGTAGAGTAATTAACTAGTACATCGACTTTAAAAACTAGATTTGATTGCTCATGACCCTCTGCTCTACTAAGGAAAAAACAATGATAAAAATAAAAATACAAAGCAAAAAATAAAGAAGCCTAATTAATTTTGAGGTGCAGCGGGAGGGACTTTTAAAATTTTCTAAAAATGTATTTGAAAGTAAGTATTTATAGAGGATTTTTAGCATTAGGAATGTCTTTGAGAGGAATATTCAAAAAATTTAACTTCAAATTGAGTCGAAGGAAATATTTAATTTTATTTGGATTGATTTTGTTAGATTTTTCATGTGATTTTGTCAGAATATGGCTGAACAGGGTGAAGTTTTCTGTGCTTTAGTTGAAATATTTTCAAAAGGAAAATATAAGGTTTGGAGTTAGTAAATAAGAATAAAGTGTTGCTTAATTTTTTAGGCTAAGCATTTGAGTGGTATTTGGGGTATGGGTTGGTGCTTGTTGGGTTAAGGGATATGATTAGTTTGGGTGATGTTTAAGAAATAGGACTGACTAGTTTAAGCTATTCTAGGGTAAAGATTTGAGTTCTTTAATTGCATGTACGTTTTAACGCAACACTGATCAATGATAAGATATCTCATTTTTCAAACACACTTTATCATGTTTATGGTTTAACCATTAAGAGGAGGATTCAACAACAATATTGTAATGTGTAATAGACTAACAAAATATATCTGAAGTAAATAACAAGATATATATGAACATATAATATTGCAAAAAAAAAGAGAAAAAGAATTACATATACAGATCAATCGATTTAATCCTAAAATGAATGTAATGTTGTATTATTTTTCAATGAAATAAAAAGAAGAAAATTTTATTCGTCCATCCAATTCCATACCTTGGCCAAAACATTAATGTGATGTAGAGTAATTACAAGTTGAATCAATATTTAGCAGAATCCCAGGAGACATTATTATCTGCATTCATATTATTGTGCATCATCATAGGTGCCTTCTCTGAAACACTCCAAACCTTTACAGATTTATCAAGACTTCCACTATAAACGACCCATTTCTGATCGGTTTGAGTGGATTCTTTATCTTCTTCTACTGCTAGACATTTCACTGGCCCATTATGACCAGTCAATACAGATAACAATGTGTGTATAGACTTATTGTCCCTTCTCCAAACACATATTGTTTTATCAGCTGATCCACTCAGTACCAAATTTCCAGCTGCTGCAAGGCATAAAATAGCCAATTTGTGTCCCTTTAAGACTCCACCATGTGATAATTGCTTCTCTCGTTCCCAGAAATTCACAACACCATCAGATGAACCGCAGTAAACTACTGAACCAGATTTGCTAACAACTAATGCTGTCACTGCACATTCTTGATTCAAAAGTGTCTGAACAAATACATGTTTTGGGTGTTTCCCTGAGTTTTCCCTCTGCCAAACCTTCACTGTACCATCAGCTGATCCTGTATACACTATGCCTTCAACACTCGTAACCACTGAGTTCACTGCATCATCATGTGCTTTCACTGATTCTATGCATTTCGAGTTATCAACGTTCCATACCTATTAGATCATATTGTTAAATTGTATTTTCTATTCTCTAATTAATATATATATATATATATATATAGATTATATAAACTAACCTTAAATGTTCTGTCCCATGAAGCTGAATAGAGAAGGCCTCGGGTTTGATCCATGCTCAAGCATGATATGGCGTCAACGTGCTTGATCCATAAACCACTCCTATTTCTCTTGACTTCGACATAGTTGCTAGGCCTAATGGATGCCTTGAAAATATCAAAGAAACTAGGCAAAGTCCCAGCACGTTTGTAGGTACCTGGATTCTTGGTTTGGATCTTCCAAACACGAACTTTTCCATCTTGATGACCAGTGAATATTTTCTCTCCTGAGATGATGATGGCTTTTACAAGTCCGCTATTTGATTTAAAAGCAGCAAATTCCTTGAGATTCTTCCAGACACGTATATTCTTGCTATCAGATCCTGTGTAAAGAAGATCGTTTTTGGTAGCCAAAGAATAAATGTGACCCTCTTCCCGCACAAGTGAACCAATAAGTCCATTAATTTGAGGGATATTATTGTTTTGGGAATTGTTACCCTCATCAAATTTGGACCATGGAGACCCTTGGTTCCATGGAGACATCATCATAGGAGACCCTTCACCGCTAAGACGATTCGCTTCATACGCAGAGAAACTGCTGTGTCTTGCATTGTAATTACTATTATTATTATCCGCATCATCGTCAATATGTGAGCTTGATATGTTTGGATCCGAGTGAACAGTGTTTCCTAATTTAGGAGGCAAATGGCTTGTATCAACAAACATTCTGCTTAATTGGCCTCCCCTTTTCTTAATTAAAATAATTATCTTCTCACAACAATCTATTATTAGGCTGAGAAGAAAAGGCAAAGGAAAAATGGATTAACAAAGTATACAAGAAATAGAAGGGAAGGGAAGGAAAATAAGAGTGTGGAAGAGAGATTTTCTAGGGAATTGCAAATTAGAGGCCATAAATTTTGAGTTTAACCACAGCTATTCAACATTTTCTATTATTGCTTATTTACGTGAAAAGTTTAGTCCTTATATCTATAATAAAATCATCAATATAGTTTACGCCCAATAATATAATTTATGATAACGTCCACTTGTTTTGAGAAGCGCATAATTAATATTATTCTAATATCTTATAACGACGACAAAAAGATATATGACGTTAAATTTATGATTTTATTTTCTATTAAACTTCTTGTGAACTGCATGGTGTCGGGTCTACAGACCATCAAATATGTTATAAAATACATACTTTCTTCTGTTTTATGAATAACAATTTATTACCTCTTCTCATATAAATATTATCGATTAAATAGACAACTATAATTTTAAGTTGCTCAATTGTTTCTATTTATTTTTTCTGACGGTGAAGGAATGTTGATATTTTTTAAAAAATTTATAAATAAGATAAATCATATCAATAAAAAAATTGAAAAATAGAGAAAACCTAAAAAGAGGACATAAAAATTAATAAAATTGTTAGCTTAAAAATGAGTTAAATACAAATGTTTAAAGAAATACAAATGTCTATAGAATTGATAAGGATGAAAATAGCACTGTAGACACGTAATTTTTTATCGAACTTAAAGTTTTACACCATTTTAGTGGTTAATATTTCTTTTATATTTAAATTAAGTATTTTGGTTTTATCATATTTTAGTAAGTTTATTGTAAAAATATTTAAAAACCCCAAAAATAAAGTCATGTTTTTAAGTTAAGTTTTGTTTTCAATTTATTCACAAGAGAAGAAAATGTTCAAAAGTATATGTTTTCTTTTAATGTATATTTAATAAATAAACTAGTGTTTCTTAATTATATTTTTTAATTAGCTATTTAACTTTTCTTAAATTTATATTAATTTCAAAATAATTAGATTTTATATTTATATATACATACACATTACCCCACTATCTCCCACTTCCTCACACCACAACACCCACTCCCCATATATACACCACTACACACACGTACAAAAAGAGAAAGAAAAAAAGTAAGGAAAAAAAACCATCAGCAACATGCCCACTTTCTCTATATACACACACGGAGCGCACACAAAAGAGAAGGAGGAACTACTACAAATTAATACCAAAAGACGCCCAACTATACGTACTAATATGCACACATACTCTCATTTCCCTCACCAATGAAACCAGAAACAATACCTTACATATTACAACACATTCACACGCAAGAAACAAAAATAATATCCTTACATTTTAATCTTTTTTTCACTCACCAAAGGCCACCTTACACATTGGAGGGAAAAGATTGAATTCGAGGTTTGCTTTCATGGTTTGGAGTTCGCGGTTCCTTATTAGGACTATTTTCTTTTCGGTGAATTGATTTTCGCAAGAGGTACAATTTAATTTTTATTGTAATTTGATTTTCAAGATTATATAATACTTGATTACAATGTTATGAAATTGCTCAAATTTTATATGTGTTGAACTTTGACGCTATGATATTGAAATATTTCCTCTTTATTTTATTCTATGTTATCTTCCATTTTGTACCATATGCTTTTTTTTTGGTAGGAAAGGATATATATATATATTAAGCTTAAGTAGCGGATACAGTCAGGATATTATAATTCCCTAATTTAGCCAGGTTAATACAAGTTGCTAAGGACACTTTTTTAGTACTAATGTGTCCTGCTACATCTGCTGCTAGGCTAGAGATTACCCCAGTAAGGGGACTACAAAACATTACAAAGTTACTATTAGTACTAGTAGTTCTTGCTTCATTAGCCAAGTGATGTTCCACCTTGTTACCATCTCTGAAGTTATGGTTGATAGGGGGATTCTGCAGTTTCTTCAGCCAGTATCTGCAGGAGGAGAGGAGAGAGTCATACAGTGAGTTTGAATAATCAGTTAGAAGAGTAATTACCTCAGTAGAGTCAGTTTCGATTGCCAGTGGAACAAATTGTGGTGATAGGCTAACTCAATGCCTCTAAGCAGTGCCAATAGTTCCATTGAAGTGCCATTGAAACCTTGATGTTGTTGGTAGAATCCCATCTTCCAATTACCATATTCATCACGGAAGACACCTCCTAAACCACCTACCAGTGATGGAGCAGAAAAGAAGCCATCGAAATTAAGCTTATAGAGGCCGTGGGGAGGGGGTTTCCAGCGAGCATGAATAGTGATCTTATCTGAAGGGGTAGAAGAGAGGAATTTGCCGGTAAAAGCATATTCTAAGGTGCGAGCAATAACCGTGGGGATAGAGATTGGGCTGTTAGAGTTATGAAAAATATTATTATTACGATTTAGCCAGATATGCCAAATGGCAAAAGGGAAATAGATTTCCCAACTGAGAAGCGGATCGGCAAAGGCATGGTTGAGGTTTTTCAAAGTCAGCAGCCAGTTGACAATACTGTGATCGTTAACAATTGGGGAAATGGGGATATTCAGCTGGTTCCACAAGTTTTGAGCAATAGTCAACGAAAATATGCTGGGAGGTTTCAGGATTAGCATTACAGATTTCACACATGTTCGTGGGAAGGATTTGAAGTTTGCGAAGGTAGTAACCTGATGGGATTTGGTCATGATAGCACATCCAAAAGAAGAACTTGATCTTAGGAAGAGTATTGAGTTGCCAAATCCATTAAAAGTCCTTAAGATGGTTGGAAGGGTTGGGAGGATTTATAATTTGGTAGACTGAGGCGATTGAGAAATTACCGGTACTAGTGAGAGACCAGATGGGAGTGTCTCGAGAAAGAGTAGGAAAAGTCGGGATAGGGTGGATGGCTTGAAGGATAACTAGGGAAATTCGAATGAACAGTTGTCGAGGTTCCACTGGTTATTAGATCGAAGATCAACTACTACTATCAATTAAAGTACCTTTTATATCCAACTAAAATTAAATTAAATGCATGAAAATAGTATTCTAATAGTTTATTTGGTCAAATTTACATAAAGTAAAAAATGTTTACTCCCTCTGTCCCAATATTTATGTGACACATTTCGCTTTTTGAGAGTCAAACAGTTCAAGTTTGACCGAGAATTTGCTCGTGAAATCTTCAATTTTTTAAAAATGAAATTCATATATTTGTAAACTACATAAAAAGTATTATAAGTCACAATAATTGATAATTCAAAATATTGAAAAGATATATGAAAAATTTACGATCAAAGATAAACTTGTTTGAATCTCGAAATCTGAAATGTGTCACATAAATTGGGACAGAGGGAGTATTTTTTTTCAAGGCCCCCAGTGGGAGGCTCGCACGACGGGCTATTAGCTCAGTGCTAGAGCGCACCCCTGATAATTGCGTCGTTGTGCCTGGGCTGTGAGGGCTCTCAGCCACATGGATAGTTCAATGTGCTCATCGGCGCCTGACCCTGAGATGTGGATCATCCAAGGCACATTAGCATGACGTACTCATCATGTTCGAACCGGGGTTTGAAACCAAACTCCTCCTTAGGAGGATAGATGGGGCGATTCGGATGAGATCCAATGTAGATCGACGATTCTCAACAACATCTGTAAAATCTCGAGGCTTACTAGACGGAATTCGATCAAAAATGAAAACTTTGGATATTTTTCTAAGAAGGAGATGAGCTACCTATAGATTTTTATGTAAGTGCACAAATTAAGAGAAAGCTGGCATCCAATCAAGAAAAAAAAGAGTTACACATTTTTATTTTTTTTATTTTTATTTTTATTTTTAATGTTTTTTGAGATAACTTATAAGTATATTAAAAGTGTAAATGCATCCATATCAAATTTGAATATGAAATAACTTTCTATTAGTTTAAAATTTTAAACTTTTATTATTTAAATAGTGTTTTGAATATAAATAGTAAAAAAGTAATTTAATCACTAATAAAACGCTTGAGCTATCTAGTAATAAGTAAATATTAAGATATATAACTCATTTTAAAAGCCTGTTTCGATTAAGAATGTGGTTACACATCTTTTTCTTGAGACATTAAAATAAACTTAAGGATACAGTGACGCACCTTGTTTAATAATATAATTAACTGTCATCAATTTAAAGTAAAGACTTATAGATAAAATTATTAGGTGCAACATAAGAAGACAATTATGTCTCTAAATGTCAAGACCAAGAATGCGATTACGCATTTAGGTTAAGACTGTAACATCTCACTATTTGAAAGAACTAGAAAGAGTTAGAATTGGAAAGAGTCATTTTAGGAAAGAAGGAAAAATCTAGAAAATTGGTTAAGTTAGGTTAAGTTTGAGTTTTTGATCAACTTCAAACGTGCATAACTCATAGCTCAGGATGAGTTGAGTGTGCTTCCAGATACCGTAGGAAAGATCTTGGAATTATTTTTCTAACGTCGCCGAGTTTGCACGATTCCGAGTTTGTATGTATGAGATATGGCCATTTGAAGTTGGGTTGTTCAAACACGTCAAGAGTGAAGAATCTTCGACACCCACGTCCAATTTTTTGGAGTTGAAACCCTTTGAATCTTCAAGGTTTTAGAACAAAGTCTCCAAAACCCTCTAAAACTTGAAAATGAAAATATTCTAAGTCTCAATAATAATTGTCTATGACTTGATACTAAGCTAACAATTTAAACAAGTATTTATAGTGTTTGAAAATTTTGCTGCGGAGGATCACTCGGCGCAGTTAGTCGGAATCGCCGATCCGCTGTTTGGTCAATTTCATCGCCTTCTTGCTTTAGCCTTCAGCCTCTTCGCGCTTTGAGTCGTTAGGCGATATGGTATTGCTTCGCGGAACTACTTGGCCACACGCCGACTGCTCCATTTCATCGCCAACTTGATCTTTCCCTTCAGGGCTCAGCATACTGGAACAAAAGGCAATCTCCAGGCCGATTGGCGACTCGCCAACTGGTCTCGCCGATCTTCAGGCCTCCATTTCTTCGTTCTTTTCAGCCGCTTTGTTCCTTCTTGCTAAGTACTGTCCATGATTTGCCTCAAACTCCAAATACCTGAAACTTAAGGGTTTTCATCAGATATTGAGACAAAATATGCATTTGAGGACACTAATTCTATCAAAATATAGCCTTAAATGAGTCCAATTTGTGGACTCATCAAGAACCCATTAGCGTGCATCAGTAAAAAAAAAAAAAGTTATACAAAAAGTACCGAGAGGAAAAAAAATCAAAAGGGCACATAATATATGTGGGTGATCCTTCCTCCATGATTTGCCCTCCATAGCAAGATGACCACGTACGATACAATCAGATATGTTTGCGATTTACCCCATTTTTGCTCTTTTTTAAAATTTTTGAATGATGAATTTTCAAAGAGGAAGCAAAAAGTGAAAGATTTATTCCTAAAAAACTCCAATTATAGTATGTAATCTGAGTTGGATTTAGTATTGCAATATTTATTCTCCATCAATTTATGTCAAACTTATTTGATTTATTTTTGTTACACGATTTTATAAAACATTAAATTGACTATTAATTCACTGTCAATATATATCAAATTAATTCAATTTATTATTTACTTGTTTTAAATGAGTAAATATATAAATTAATTAAGGAATAATTTTATAAATATTCCTCCAACTTTAGCTTTATTATATAACTAATTTTGATACACGTGCCTTGCACGTGAATGTAAAACCATGTAGCACACTATTTTAAAATAATAATGTCAATATTATTTAACTAAAACTTTAAACAAAAAATTACATATGGAATAATAAAGTATAACTTTATATGAATAACGAATGTAAACTTTCTTATGATTAGTCACTGTGTACATACTTAAAGTTCTTAAATCAATATTCAATAACATTTATATTTCTGAGGATACTCTAAGCTAAAAACTAGAGTCCTATTAATTAAAATGTACTTCTAACTACAAATCAGAGCCCTATAAATCAATAGATACATTTACATATTCAGGTTAACCCCTTTTAATTTCTTTTTATAAGGTAATGTATGTTATATTGATTGCCAAGCTGAAACTTTTTACAAAATAGAATGAAGTTTCATACTTTTTGTCCAGAGAAAATGTTTTCCACATATGGACGAAATTAATCTTAACCCAGAATCTTTAAAGGAAACATGCAATCTATTAGACATAACTTAGATCTCGTTAAATATTCTTCATACTCCAGTACCAAATTCTTTATAATTTTAACTACTTCTCTACTTTAATGAATTATTCAGTGACCTAAATCAAAATATAAAACTAAAGGAGTATGAAAATCCTAGCAATAATAAGAAAATTCCGCAAGTCACAACCAATATAATTGAATACTTTCTATAACTATTGCGAGATTATCAAAATTGATATGTCTAAGTATTAATTAGATTGTACAGTGTTTTCTTCACGGTTTACATAACATAGAATTGATAAGCATCCTCATAAACCTATTAAATAGGAGTAATTATAGAACAATACTAGCCCAAAAATTCCAATCACACATGAGTAATATTCACCGAACAGTGAACATATACATGTTTTACACTCTTTAATCAATGATGAGAATCTATCATGTCACGAACCAAAGTACACTCTATGTGACATGGCGTAAAACAATGTAAGCACATGTATGTATTAGTATATGAAATGTACAAAGTATAAGTGGAATGCAATAAAACATGAATCATGATCATAAGGGGCATAATCGAAAACATGATATGCATGACAAAGCTAAACAAAGAAAAATCATTTAAGAAGAATCGTAAATCATGAATATGGTCAGTGCATCTTAAATTATAAGGAATACTTCATAAAATAGTTTGAAGGCAACTTAGTTTTTTTGCGGGTTGTTAGCTTTAATTGACAATAGATCATGCGAGCTATAACATGGAATTCAATGTAACTCCCACATAGAGAAGGGAGAGTCTACTTGCCAAGGTAGAACTCTGTATTATATCATATGATACATTTGGATCCACTAGCTACGCTATTTACGACAAACCAAAGGGGGCACGTAGTTTGAAACCAGAGGTTGTTACTAGAGACTATCCTATTTGAGCCTCCACCTCAAAGTATTCTCAGAGGTAAGTCATATCCTATAGGAATAGTCATATTCACATACATATTATAATACATCGAAAATTACAATTAAGTTACTAATCTAAGTTAAAAACATCATTGAGTATCTCATTAAATCTTGAATCAAGTCTAAGTTAGAAAACCTTTTACCAAGCCATGATTCCTCAATATTTGAGAAAATCCTTTCCAATTTCATTGATGCTCATATTAAAACAATCTATATCATAAATCATTACTTTTCATAAATCACCCATAAGTTCAAGAAAAAAAATCATTCATAGCATCATAAATTTTCTTCAAATTCATACAAATTAGGATTCCCGGTAAAAATCATGATCAATGCATGAGTTCATATGGAATTTATTGGAAAATAAGTAATTGAATCTAAATAACCATAATATGATCAAAGTCAAACAATTATATCCATACAAATAGTATTCATGAGGAATTGAATGGAAACCTAACAAATTTGACTGAAATTGAATTGGAGAAATAAAGAATCTTTGGGGACTTAATGGGTGAATGGAACCCATTGATGAACTCCTCACATACCTTATTCTTGAAGCCCTAAGCAATTTATGTAGAAAGGATACTTGAACTTGAAGAACCCTATATTCTTCTTCCTTGAACTAGAGAGAGGATTTTGAAGAAAACCTTGAAGAGGATTTGGAGATTTGATTGGATTAGAGAGTTGGGGAACTTTCAAAGGGTGAAGGGTAGTTATAGGACTTAGAATAAGGGGTAGTTATGTTGAGGAACTTTCAAGGGGTGAAGGGTAGTTATAGGACTTATAATTTGAGGTAAAACGACGTAGCATAGACATTAAA